TCCAAGAACAAAAGAACAGCCTTTAGCACCATTTAGCAACATAAAACATCTGAAAAGAACACTCTCTTAGCAACCCTTCACTTGAAAAAAACACTTTCTTAAGCTGCTTTTTGCCCAGTCCCTCTTCATCTTCCTCCGCCCCGCGACGCGCACCTTCAACCAACACTGTTACTAGTAGCGTCTTTTGTCAGTGGGCAAAAAACATCAAAAACACATCCTCATCGGTATGCGCCAAAGCACTGGAGAAACTCTTGTGAGATCCGCTGGAAGGCGCTTAAGATCTTCTTAGAGGTGGGGATCCTCTGCAAGTGCAGCAGCACCGAATCCTCGCAGTTTCAGCGGCTGAGAGGAAGCGGTCCGAGAAGTTTCACGGAGCTTCGTGGCAGTGATGTGATTTTGGGTGCGCTGGGAGGGTGCTGGCCATGGTGCAACTCTAAAGGACCGAGCTGCGATTTCAATGGTCCTGGCCTCCCTCTCTCTCTCTCTCTGTAATCGTTCCTGTACAATGGATGTGGTCGTTCTAGACGCTCCAAACAGCCCTCATTTGAGGGACCAAAGGATTTGAGACCCCAGACCGCGTTGAGGATGAAGCATGATGATCATGATCATGATTTCCACTCAGAGAAAGATCTACCAGTAAGCTACTTTGCTGGACTTCTTAGCCGTATCAGCGGTGCCGACTTGTCAGGTCCGGCTGGTCCCAGCATGTCCCAGCTACGTTTGGGCAGCTGGGCGAGTTCAATTTGCTCTAAACTGCAGGTTCAATGTTCGACCTTCACGTAGGTCGATAGACCAATTCTGGGTCAGAAACTGTCAGACTTCAAAGTTCTGCCAGTTGTCAAACTCACGAAACGTTGTACTTTTTGCACAAACCTTCACGACTGGCTGGACTGGAATCCCATGGTGCCAGGGGTGCCCCACTTGGAGGGGTTGGACGGGGTTCCTGCCGGTTCGGTGACGAACCCCTCCACGGCGCCGGGTGTTCAGAGGTGGTCGAGCCAAAATCACATGGATTGGCCCAGGAGTTCTCCATGTATCGGTCGACCCAATTTTCTGCGAGATGGTCGACGATGAGGATGCAGTTTCCTCTTCAAAACGACCAGAGGAACGGATGAATGAGTGAACAAACAAATGAACAAACTCAGGATGACAAGAAAGATACCGTTGGGATGTTTTGCACTGACTTTCGAGTTGGATGCCCATCCTTGGGTCCTTCCTGAAAACTGGACCATTATAGTACTGGTAATTAGGTGTGAACGCACCTCAAGATGTTGGCACTCCATGCAGGCGAGCAACATATCGTGCGAAGAGTAAGAGTACTAGCAACTGTTCTTTTTAGACGGCCGACTTGAAGAAGAAGCTCTTTGAAGGACTCACTTCACCGACGTATATGCCGCGAAAAAAAGCATCTCGCCCGACTTCATAGTCTTAAAGACCGAGTCACTCATCATGTATATGTACATGGTATCCTGATTGTGGCGCAAAAACCAAGCGCCCGGCCCTATACGCCCGGCACCGGGCCCATCGAAGCGCCAGGTTGTGACGTCACAAAAGAAATGAACCATGCGAGGCATCCGCATGCAGATGGCATGCGGATGCCTGGGGTTTTTAGGGAGAGGAATCCTTCGCAATCCTTCGCATATCACTGAGTGAAGTTGTTTCAACCAATCACCTTCGAACTTGGCGGGCCAAAGTTCATGCTACCAGATCTACAGAGCAAATTCTGGAGAAAGAAACAGGTCGTTCCCCCACCCCACTGTAGATGCAAACTGGTAGAAACCAATGATACGATATATCCGATAGGTCGAAACAAATCGAAACCATATCCTTTAAATGCCCCTACACACAGAAGTGGAAGGTCAAAATCTGGGCGAAGTGGAAGGTCTGGGATCTTCAGCGCTTCGGGGGACCAACAAAGACGCACCATTTTTTTAAACAACCAACTGACATATGATGCTTGAATCTAGTCGATCGAGGTGACCATTGAACCACGGAAGTAGATCTGTGCTTCTCAGGAGGCAACACGACATCCATCATCCTCTTAAGGCTTCAAGGAGCCAATGAGCTCGGCATGTCAAGCGACCCTGCAAAACCCTGGATGGAGGAACCCGCTCAGATCATCATGGGCGAGAAAAACAAAACTCAGGGTCACCTGCGCTGGGTGACCTGTGCTGTGCCATGCTGTGTTCTCCGCCTTCCATCGCCCATGTCATGAGTCTCTCTGTCCAAGTCTCCCAAGGCCTCACCGATCAAGAGCCTCAACATCTCGCTCAACAACGCTGCAGAGGGCCAAGCACCCTCCAAGATACCGATGGATATGTCCTCAGGGTTGCCGATTCGGCGGAAGGCGTTTGGCGTATCCGGGAATGAGTCCGGATGGTGAATCGATGGATGAACCGACCTGGAGTGGAACCCGTTCGTACTTAAGTTCCTGTTGGTTCCTGTTTGTATACAAGGTCATCTCGCATTGCAGCTATGTGCTGGCTGCCGACAGTCCCTCCACACCCGCTTATAAAAGTGCGACTCTCTCCGGGCTGGAGGGCAGAAACCTGGCCGATTCGGGCGTGGTGACGTCGCTCCTTCCTTGCGAGGTCGCACCAGTCAGGTCCGAAGATGTGTCGACTTCGGACTTCCCAAACTCTCAGGTGAGCCACTCTAAAAACCTGGAGTCACTCCCTATGTCGTATCACTTTCCTTGACAAGGTCCTCACTTAAGATGTAAAGGCAGGTTTTTAGAGCGGCTCAGGTCTTCCATGGCGGACGGCATTGATCCACCCGGTCACGCGGTCACGTTGGAACCCATGGGGCCTCTCTGGGTCCTCAGCCTGTGGGTCATGGCACCAGCCCCACACTCGGTAGGTCGACCGCCCAGGTGGTCATGGCACCCGGGACACACAGACCGCCATGTCTGTCGCATGTAGAGCCCTGGCAGCTTCACAGACAAGATGCAGAGCCCTGATTGTTCTTGATGTATGCACCTGGAATGGGACTTCAGGCGGTGTCGTCTATGCGAAAGAAATGGACTCTGCGAAAGATGGTGGACAATCTGTGAGTGTTCCCTCCAGTCATCAACCTGTGGAACTAGAAAGACCATGAAATGAAAGACCGAGTCGGATTGAGGGCCATAATTGAATATTTGCCTATACAATCCTATAATATTGGGTCTATCCTAATACCTGTAACAGTGGATGATGATGGTTCAGTTGCAGGCCTTGTTCAATAGTGATTTGCTTCTTTACTGACTCTTACTGGTAAGAACGGATAGACCCAACCTATACTTATACCTACCCTAGGGATCCCCATACCTTCTCAGAATGTACTTGGTTGGGCCCTCCAGCCTCCAGGCCTACATAAATCGTCTCCGTCCTCGCCTTCTGCGAAGGTACTTGGAACCCTAGGGCCCTAGGGCCATATCACGTGCAGGATACATTGGAGTGATTTTAACATGTCTTAAGGACTGGATAAATATGTCAGTTCCATGGATGGTCTGGGGATGTTTTCTCGGCTAACACAGGCGTGTGGGGCTCGTTTCAGGCCACGGCAGGGACCGGTTGAGGTGGACTGGACAGATGACACGGACACCGCGGAATGGGGCCAGGAGACCGCCGGTGGGCTCTGCCACCGCCTGGTTCAGGCGGCTCCCGGGTTCGGCGGTGCGCGGGTGCGCGGCGCCCACCTTACGACGGTGGTGAATAGAATGATACTCGTATCTATGTTGGGTATATCCCATGACCAGTGGATGATGGATGGTGGGCTACACCCTACTTATCATGATACATCATGATACTCAAGCACCTCCTCAGATCTGCCCGGACCGAGGTGCCGACCAACATCCTCGGTCCCAAGCCCGGCAAGAACCCGGAGCCGTCCAGATGACCCAAAAGGACCCATGAAAAAAACAAGAACGATCCAGCAGATTCCAGCAGTCACAAAGGGGTGCCGAACGAACGGAGGATTTAGGGGTGCCCGACAGTCACATCCACGGCCCCTGGATGGGACGAGCCACACCACCCACCTTCAACCATCCAACTGAAACAGTCCAAGCGACGCTCCGCCACAGGCACGCCGTCTGCTAAACAGCCCGAAACCACGCGGAGCCTCACGAGGAGTAAACCACAAGCCACGAAACTGGTCCTCATCCCAAGACTTAACGCCATCAGGAGTCGGGTTGAGAGACTTGGGGTCCTCACGAGCCAAAACTGCGGTACGCGAGAGCGGATAGACGTCCGGTCTCTGACGGATGTGGATAGAGGTCGGATAGCAAGCGGAGAGCGGCTAAGTCCTCTTTTGTACCATGAGAAGATACCAGTTGTTTAAATCAAAGCCCCGGTATGTACCTGTCAAACCATGCCCCATTTCTTGCTCTACAGTACTAGAAAACACGGTGCAGGCACTGATCACATCATCTTGTTTTTGGGATCAAGATGGATCAACTGGGCTGGCAAAATGATCACCAGCATGACAGAAAGGTAGGTTTATGGACACCCCTTTTCCTATGTACTTTGGTGCTGGCATATATGCTGAAGCCGTCTTAGTGGAAGAAACCTCTGACGGATCAAAAACTTTGAGACTTCGGACTTGGAGAAACGTCCAGGAACTTCACCTCTCTATCGTGGATGTTGAAGTGACTCTGGAAAAATAGAAAGGTCACCAACCAGAAATCAATGGCATTGATTCAATGCCCCCCCAAAAAAACGGTTATAGGTTATTCATTTTTATCTGGGTGAGTGCTTCACCAGGTTCCGATCCACCTCTTCATCCATCCAGCTGGGCGTCTGTGCACACACATTCGACTCACGACAGGTTGTCCAAAACTCATTAAACATTGGGAAAAACTGGGGAACAACTCCAATCACAACCATTGAAGATCTGTCTGGATTGCTGGGGGCGTTCATTTTTTTGCCGGCTCCCGACCTTTCGGAGTTCAACGCTGGGAAACCCCTGACGTTCGCGCGACACTGAAACGCACCGCCAACGGCGGACGGCGAACCGTGACCCGCCTGATCTCGCTGGGCACGAAGGCTGAAGTAGGAGGAGAGGTGGCGCGAAGACCAAATCTGCATCCTGGGGATGCAGATTCCAACGGATCTGGTGCTTTTCTCGTCCCCTTGGGTGGTACGCCCCTCGAGCGTGTTTGTTTTTCTCATGTGGGTCTCCTTTTGGTTCCTCGAAAAGAGAAAGACTGACTGCAATGTCAACCAAGGATTAACCAACCTCCCCATATCAATCAAGCCCATCTGCCCCCAGAACTTGAAACAATATCATTGTTTAAAACTGCAATCTAAGCTTGCAGCTGCAAATGTTTTCCCAAGCAATCTTCCTAAAATCTCCCTAGCTTAAATTCTTTAAGTGTCCCTTAAAGTCTGAAGGTTCACACAGAATCCTATATAATAGCAATATCAATATCTAACCTAACCTTGTTGACCTTGAAGGGGAGAGGGGGTTGACTAATCCAACGTCGACATAAAAGACATGCTGATCACCTTCCTTCCTCTCTCCTTTGCTCAAGTGGTTGCGATGGCAACATCTCACCCGGCGAGAACGAAGAAAACGCGCCAACCTAAAGGATCGGACATGATTTCGCGATCAGTTCTCAAAAAAAAATTCTGAAAACACCATCATGACAAAATACATATATGTATATACATAAACAAAAATATATCAAACACAATTCTAAACCCCAGTTGAAAAAACAAAAAACAAGATAGAGCCCACGAACCCGAATGCAAACACGTTCGAAAAGCTACAAATGACACTCTTTTGGGACACTCTTGTGGGACACTCTTGTGGGTCACTCTTGTAGGACACTCTTGTGGGACACTCTTCCGGGACACTCTTGTGGCACACTCTTGTGGGACACTCTTGTGGGACAGTCTTCTGGGACACTCTTGTGGGACACTCTAGTAGGACACTCTTGCGGGACACTCATACGGGACACTCTTGTCGCACACTCTTGTAGGACACTCTTGTGGTCACTCTTATGGGAAACTCTTGTGAGACACTCTGTGAGACACTCTTGTAGGACACTCTTGTAGCACACTCTTGTGGGTCACTCTTGTGGGTCACTCTTGTAGGAAACTCTTGTGGGACACTCTTACGGGACACTCTTGTGGCACACTCTTGTGGGACAGTCTTCTGGGACACTCTTGTGGGACACACTTGTGAGACACTCTTGTGGGAAGCTCTTGCGGGGCACTCTTTTAGGGACACTCTTGTGGGACACTCTTGTAGGAAACTCTTGTGGGGCACTCTTGTAGGACACTCTTGTGGGACACTCTTAAGGGACACTCTTGTGGGACACTCTTAAGGGACACTCTTGTGAGACACTCTTGTGGGACACTGTTGCGGGACACTCTTGTGGGACACTCTTGTGGGACACTCTTACGTGACACTCTTGTAGGACGCTCTTGTGGGACACTCTTGTAGGACACTCTTGTGGAACACTCTTACGGTACACTCTTGTAGCACGCTCTTGTAGGACACTCTTGTGGGACACACTTGTGAGACACTCTTGTGGGACACTCTTGTGGGACACTCATATGGGACACTGTTGTGGGACACTGTTGTAGGACACTCTCTTGCGGGACACTCTTGTAGGAAACTCTTGTCGGATACTCTTGTAGGACACTCTTGTGGGACACTCTTGTAGGACACTCTTGTGGGACACTCCTGTAGGACACTCTTGTGGGGCACTCTTGTGGGGCACTCTTGTAGGAAACTCTTGTGGGACACTCTTGTAGGACACTCTTGTGGGACACTGTTGTGGGACACCCTTGTGGGACCCTGTTGCGGGACACTCTTGTGGGACACTCTTGTGGGACACTCATACGGGACACTCTTGTGGGACACTCTTGTGGGACACTCTTGTAGGCCACTCTTGTGGGACACTCTTGTGGGACACTCTTGTAGAAAACTCTTGTGGGATACTCTTGTGGGACACTCTTGTGGGACACTCTTGTAGGACACTCTTGTGGGACCCTGTTGCGGGACACTCTTGTGGGACACTCTTGTGGGACACTCTTGTAGGAAACTCTTGTGGGACACTCTTGTAGGACACGCTTCTCCGACACTCTTCTCGGACAGTCTTTTGGGACACTCTTAAGGGACCTAAGGGACACTCTTGTGAGACACTCTTGTGGGACACGGTTGCGGGACACTCTTGTGGACACTCTTGTGGGACACTCTTACGGGGCACTCTTGTAGGACACTCTTGTGGGACACTCTTGTAGGACATTCTTGTGGGACACTCTTACGGGACACTCTTGTAGGACACTCTTGTGGGTCACTCTTATGGGACACTCTTGTAGGACACTCTCGGGGGTCACTCTTATGGGACACTCTTGTCGGACACTCTTGTGGGACACACTTGTGAGACACTCTTGTAGGACACTCTTGTGGGACACTGGTGTGGGACACTGTTGTAGGACACTCTCTTGCGGGACACTCTTGTAGGAAACTCTTGTCGGATACTCTTGTAGGACACTCTTGTGGGACACTCTTGTAGGACACTCTTGTGGGACACTCCTGTAGGACACTCTTGTCGCACACTCTTGTGGGACACTCTTACGGGACACTCTTGTAGGACACTCTTGTGGGACACTCTTGTAGGACACTCTTGTGGGACACTCTTACAGGACACTCTTGTAGGACACTCTTGTGGGTCACTCTTATGGGACACTCTTGTCGGACACTCTTGTGGGACACACTTGTGAGACACTCTTGTGGGACACTCTTGTGGGACACTCATACGGGACACTCTTTTGGGACACTCTTGTAGGACGCTCTTGTGGGACACTCTTGTGAGACACTCTTGCCGGACACTCTTGAAGGAAACTCTTGTGGGATACTCTTGTAGGACACTCTTGTGGGACACTCTTGTAGGACACTCTTGTGGGACACTCCTGTAGGACAATCTTGTGGGACACTCTTGTACGAAACTCTTGTGGGATACTCTTGTAGGAAACTCTTGTGGGACACTCTTGTAGGACAATCTTGTGGGACACTCTTGTAGGGCACTCTTCGTACGAGACTTCCTCCAAAAGTCACACGTCAAGTCTCCAAAACGAGCGTTTGGTACGAGACTTCCTCCAAAAGTGACATGTCAAGTCTCCAAAACGAGCGTTTCGTACGAGACTTCCTCCAAAAGTCACGTGTCAAGTCTCCAAAACGAGCGTTTCGTACGAGACTTCGTCCAAAACTCACATGTCAAAGTCTGCAACGAGCATTTCGTACGAGACTTCCTCCAAAAGTCAAGCGGAAACACCCATCGGAGCACACACATCACGCAGCCCTGCCAAGCTTTCGCGAGTCCAGCCCCTCCAAACAACACCCGTTCACACGGAAATCCCACAGCGACATTCACCTCTACCACAACTCACGACCTCGCAATTCCCTGCGGCTGCCACGAATCTTTCCGCATCCACACGTCTAACGCGCACAAAGTACTGCGCCTGCCACGAAATGTCACCTCCGTCACACCTCGCAACCTCACCATTCCCTGCGCCTGCCACGAGAATCGCGCTTCCACGCCTCAAAACCCAGACAAAGTACTGCGCCTGCCACGAAAAGTGATAATATCGTCTCATGTCAGCTTCAACAAAATTTGCACCACACCACACGTTTGGAATGATTTCGACCCGTTTTAAGCACATCCACCAAAATCGCCATTTCAGCTGAGACTGGTCACGACAACAGAGCTTCGATGCCACACCCTGAAACGCACATCCAACACCCCAAAAACATGACTCTCCAAATGCTAATCCCAATGGAACTGCTGCGCCTGTGCAGCGAAATGCATCACGCTTCTTGCGCGACATGTTATTTCATGCAAATCACAATGGAATAGCGTTGCAAACTGACACGTGACACATCCATGAAAAGTCACTTGCAAAAGCTTCCCCCAATGGCAGCGCCTTAGCGCTCTACTGCGAACACCTGCGGACGGTTGCCAACATAGAAACAACCGGTCGCGAACAAGGCTCTACCCCCAGACCCCCAGAGTTAAACGATTACCCTTCGCTACGCATTCGGGAAAAACAAGATGGAGCCCACGACCCCCCAATGCAAACACGTTCGAAAAACTACACATGTCCAAATGACACTCTTGTAGGACACTCTTGTGGGACACTCTTGTGGGACACTCTTGTGGGACTCTCTTGTGGGACACTCTTGTAGGACACTCTTGTGGGACACTCTTGTAGGACACTTGTGGTCACTCTTTTAGGAAGCTCTTGCGGGGCACTGTTTTGGAACACTCTTGTAGGACACTCTTGCGGGACACTCTTGTAGGACACTCTTGTAGGACACTCTTGTGGGTCACTCTTACGGGGCACTCTTGTAGGACACTCTTGTGAGACACTCTTGTAGGACACTCTTGTGGGTCACTCTTATGGGACACTCCTGTCGGACACTCTTGTAGGACACTCTTGTAGGACACTCTTGTGGGACACTCATGTGGGACACTCTTGTTGGACACTCTTGTCGGAAACTCTTGTGGGACACTCTTGTAGGACACTCTTGTGGGACACTCTTATAGGACACTCTTGTGTAACACTCTTGTGGGACTCTCTTGTAGGACACTCTTGTAGGACACTCTTGTGGGTCACTCTTGTAGCAAACTCTTGTGGAACACTCTTACAGCACACTCTTACGGGACACTCTTGTCGGACACTCTTGTGGGACACTCTTGTGGGACACTGTTGCGGGACACTCTTGTGGGACACTCTTGTGGAACACTCTTGTAGGACACTCTTGTGGGACACTCTTGTATAGGACACTCTTGTGGGACACTCTTGCAGGACACTCTTGTGGGTCACTCTTAGACGACACTCTTGTAGGACACTCTTGTGGGACAATCATACGGGACACTCTTGTGGGACACTCTTGCGGGACACTCTTGTGGGACATTCTTGTGGGGCACTCTTGTGGATACTCTTGTAGGACACTCTTAAGGGACACTCTTGTGAGACACTCTTGTGGGACACTGTTGCGGGACACTCTTGCGGGACACTCTTGTGGGACACTCTTGTAGGGCACTCTTATGGGACACTCTTGTATAGGACACT